TGAGCCCTCACCGCCAGCTGTCTCCTCGGCCACCGCCCTGCTGGCTCCCAGGTGGCCTCTGCTCTCTTCCTGTGCTCGGCTCTGCTAGCAGGTCAGTGCAGAGGCCACCCGTCCTTGGCTCTGGGGCTGAAGGGCAGGCCCGCAGCTCCTCTGCCCCCGAACCCCTTCTCCCTGAGGACTGCCTGGCGCTCAGAACCCCTCCATCTCCCGTTTTGAAAAGCCGTCCTTAGACTACCTATCGGCAACGAGTGGCTGGCCCAGCTCACCCTTCCAGAACCATCCCCACCCACCCAAGCTGACTTGGAAAAGCAAGATCAGGCCTCCGTGACCCTGGAGGTCCAATACTGAGGAAACGAGAGCCCACTGGAACCAGGAGAGGCAGTTGGTACATCCCTTACTTAGATGCCTCAAGCCCATCCCAACACACACGACAATGGCATGTGAACTCTGGGGCAGTGTTCTCCAGGGCCTGTCCTAAGACCAGCCGGGGTCTGGGCGGGGAGCAGGAGGAGGCAGCCGGGGAAGTGAGGAAGACTGGGGGCAGGCACCTCGAGGTCTGGGTGAGCTGGTGAGCCAGTGCCTATGTGTAAGAGAGAAGCAGTAACAAAAACACACCACGGGGTTCAGGGGAAGTACTCTTGCTACACTCTTTCTAAAAATAAAGAACCAAAGTAAAATAAAGACTGCTGAGAGCCAACACTACTGACCACGATAACCCAGCACCAAGCACTGGGTGGGGCAGGTGTTCCATTCATCATCTTCCTTTCGGCCCCAGTGCCCCTGTGACTCAGGCACACAGCCAGGGCAGCTGTGGGCGGAGTCAGAGTCTGGCCCAGAGTGCCAACTGGGAACATGTTCCTAGCCACTCAATAACCACATCCCACCAACTCCAGACTGGAACGTTCTGGGTGCTCTGTAGTGTGGGGAGCGCTTCCCAGTTAAGGCCTGGTGAGAGCACCGGTGCCCAAGGTGGCCTGCTGGCACCCTGGCCACGCGGACCATCCCTTGGGGCCAAGCATCAGCTCCTTTAGAGGACTTGAAAGACTGCTGGCGCAGGGACTGCTCACCCTGAGAGTCCCTGGGAAGGAGCCGTGAGCACCCACTCACAGGTGAGAGCAGCCACTGATGACCTGGCACAGGCGGGCATCTGTGTCCCTACAACTGTCTTTGCAAAATCAGCCAGGCCACAGTGTTCTGCCTCTAGCTCTAACCAAGACCAGTCACTGTCCTGCTGGAGAAGAGCAGCAGGAGGGTGCGTGCATTTGGCAGAAAGAGGAACTGCCATGCAGCCAACACCACTTCCTCCAGGGCCACCCTCAGAGGACTGAGGGTTGGACAGCTGATGGCCTGGGGGCTGATGCCCTGAAGCCAGCTCTTCTCACTCTTTCTTCCGACTTTTCCGAATGGACTCTCGGGCAGGCTCAGGCTGAGGAGCCTTCAAGATAGGCAGCTTGTGAGGACTCACCTCAGCATTCCCTGGCAGCAAGCACTGCTGTACTAGCGGAGGAAAGGGCTGGCGCTCCGCATGCAAGGGGACCGTTTCTTCAGGTCCTGAACAAACCGTGATATGTGGTCGGTGCTAAGAACATACCCAGAGCCACATCCTCAAGCAAAGTGTGAACTAACACCCACTGGTGGCTTCAGACAGGCTGGCGCGGCCCTCGCGGGTGCGCGAGACACTTGCAGCCGTGCAGCACGTCGGCCCCTCACCTCTGGTTTCATTGCACCAAACCCAATGTGCCGTTTCCACTCAAAATAACCCCCGCTCCTCTTGCCAAGTGGCTTAAAATTTCATACTTCCACCCCACACCCCCGTCACTTAGCCCTTTAGCCGTGTCTATAAAATTCCTTTCACTGCCTTTCTGGTCCTGAGACTTGCCAACACCAACTACACCCGCAGTGAGCACAAGCAAAGAACTGCAAGGGGCACGTCAGCAGAAGCACCCCACTGGCCCCACTCCTCAAAGACCCATCTGCCACCACTGACTCTGCAATGCCGAAGCCAGGAAAACAGCCCCGCTGGAGGACAAAAGCACATGGGCCACCCTCAGTCTTCTCCAGGCCTGGCTCAGTGGCAGAGACCAAACACCCTCAAATCCTACTTCGTCTGGGTGGTTACCCACCAAGTAGCATTTCCTGTTGCCCTTAAACTCCTAAAGCTTCTCCACACTGACAGAGGGCTGATTCAGCTCTAAACAAAGTCTAACCTGTTCAGCGATACCTAGGGGCCAGGCACCACAGAGTACAGAGACAAGCAAAACGAATCACACACATCAAGGATTTAGGAAACACTTCCGGGAAGGAGCACTGCAGCTTGCCGGCCCCTAAGGGAACACGGCAGAGAAAAATGACCCAGGACAGCTGAAATGAGTAACAGACTCAGACCCAGCCCCGATGCAGGAAAAGAGAATTCACACTTGCACTCACTACAAAGAGAACCTCATGGTAGCAATGGGCCCAGAGTCAGAACTTGAGACAAGAGGGCAAGGGTTTGGGGGCTTGGGAGATGGGAATGGGTGCCAGGCTCAGTCCTGAGACAGGGAATGTGAAGACTTAGGGGAGGGGGGACCATTTGAAACCCAGCTTCCCATCCTCCCCTAACAACCTGTCTGTTGACTTATTAAAAAACACTCAAGGAAATGTCCTGTAACTCCACCTCCCCCACACCACTTCCCCAGCTGACCTCCCCACCAGAAACTGCGTTTAACAGCAAGCCACAAGCATTGTCCCAGTGAACTCCAAACCCATCAGGTTCCTGAAAGATTCCAGGTCTTCCCGGAACTCTTCCCCTTTCCATCTCCCCACCCAACCCCTGTCCAAGCACCACCTTCTGCAAGCCCAGATGCTCCATCAACACTAGCGAAATGCCCAGCAGGGAATCTTCCACCAGGCCAACACTTGGCTTCAGCCCTAGGATTATCTGCCAGGTATGCTTTCATGAATCTTAACTAGGAGGCCAGGGCTTGAGATTTGTACACATGAATCAACATCCTGTTTGTCTTCTGTTTTGTAATTAAGAGCAGAACCAGTGTCCCACTCCAAACACCCCTTCCCCTCCTCCCTACAATTCTCAGATTGGTCACTCAGGGTTTAATCATCTAAGAGTCGATCTCTGGGGCATTCTTTCATCAGATCCAGGGGGGAGGGCAAGTGGGGGGACCTGAAAAGACCGAGTATCATACATGCCCTCATTTGAAGTAAAAAACCCTATGACTATGACTATTAGCATTACTCTTTCTGGCACATTTGCATTATCTGTGACTAAAACTAACTTAATCTACCATCAACTATTTTATGAGACAGAAACTGTAACTGCTACCTTACCTTCATGTTCTAAATTTGTTTTACATTTTAGAAAAAAATATGGTTAAGTGGATAATAATTGAGAAAACAACAATGCAGATACATTCTGATAGATTAATTACCCTCCCCCAGAGGATTCCTGGTGCAGTAAAGCATAATTCTTTAAGTCGTCTTGAAACTGTACAATGAAAGGATGAACTGACTTAACTGTAAACTAGTTAACTGGCTCCGTCGGAATCAATTGTCTCAGTGTTGAATAGCCAGCCATTGCCTCACAACAACCCAATGGCGAAAAGCAACTTAAAATCTGACTCAATATACAAAACAGGAACCCTGGAGTAGAAATTCTAGTGAATGACTACTAAGGCACACTGTTTTAAAAGAAAATCAAAACAATAAAATACAAATTCATACTATAAAAGGAAAATGATAGCTCACAAAAGCCTACTTCTATCCTGGAGATGACTGTCACTCTCTGGCAGGTCATCTCTCCTTGCTTGGCCAAAGGAGCAATGGAAATAGCTGTGGGATGGAGGGTAGGAGGTGAGGAGGGAGAGGGCCAGAAGTTTAACATCTCAACCTCTGGTTTCAATCCACGGGGCTGGATTTACAATAACTCAAGAGTTCTCATTTCCTGATCATAGGTGATGCCACGCTGAGAATGGTTTCTGTCATGTTTCTGAAACTTGAAGGTCGTGAATTTTTCTGGAAAGCCTAATACCTGGCAAATGATGGGCTGGCAAGCAACAAAGTCAAGCGCTATTGTGTAGGCCCAACTGAGAGACCCAGAAAAGAAAGAGTAAGACTTGTATATTCCCTAGAGTAAATATAGGTAATAACTATTTTTCCAACAGAGCCTTTGCTCGGTTTCAACCTGGTACAGCTTCCGGGATACTCTTCCTCAACCACACAAGCCTTGTAAAGGTAATCAACAAAGTAATTTCTATTACTATCTGGAAAAACAGTGTATTATATTTGATAAAAAGATAAGCTCCAAAAGGAAATTCTTTTGGAGAATTCATATCCTTTTGCAAGAGCAGTGAAAAGCTAGGGTAATAAGAAAGCAGACTGAAAAATATTTCCTACCTGGCCCTTCCTTGACACTCCTTAGTATGAGCAACGTTCCCTTTGAAATATTCTATGGACAGCACCTTCTTAGAGTGACAAATGGGGTGAGTGTTGTGGCTAAAATCTTTGGAGCACCAATTCTCTAACAGCAGATTACTGGGAAAGGCAGGCCACCGTGTTACCGCCACCCCCGCCCCCAACACTAACGTCTGGAATGTGAAAAGAACCCAAGGGTCCTCTGATTACAAAACCAGTAGGTACACTGGAACGGAGAAAAGGTGTTCATACACCAGGGGCAAAAGAATCTAGGGAAAAAATGAGAGTATAGATTCACAGCAAAGTCCAGGATGTAGGAAACCTCCACCGACGAGCAGTAAGAGCTAGAAAGAGACTGCTAGAAAGAGAGAGACGCGACGTGGAGTGGCTAGGGATCCTTGATAGTAGGCGCTAGAGTGCCGTCCTCTTTCCCCCGCCCAGGGCAGTGAGTTTGGAGACTCGGGTCAGCAGGTGACACAGGGAGTGCGGGGCTCGGAGCGCGGAACCACTCTCCTCAGCATGAGGCAGCGGGGGTAGGCGGGCCGCAGTCCAGGGCGACCTGGCCCCTCCTGGCCGGCCTGCGCAGCCCTCACCTTATCTGAGTCCAGGTCGGGGTCGGCCTGACACAAACGGTACAGGAAAGATTTCGGATCCCGGCACAGCGTCTGCCGGGTGGTGAGAAAGTACGTGCCGCCGACGTTGAGCCGGACCCACTTGGACACGTTTCCGGGTCGCTGGGACAAAGCGCCGAGCCCCGCGCTGCAGCGCCGGCACAGGCTGCCCCCCAACCCCACCCCGAAACTGCCTGGGGCCGGCTGCAGAAGCTCGCAGTGATTCTCCGCCATGATCCCAGCAAGCCCAGCCACAAATCTCCTTGGCCGGAAGCGTCCGTCTTTTAATGTGTTCCTCCCAGCTCAGTCCCGCCCATGGGTCCGCTCAAGTAAAGCTCCCGCCCCGGAGTCACGCGGGCGAAAATTCCGGTCCGGAATTGCGGAAGATAGTGCCCCCTACCGGCCGGAGTCCGGGGTGCCCAAGGGGGTGTACGTTAGCCAAACCCGGCAGGGGGCACGGGTCCAGAGAGGGTCTCATTAGCCTTCCCCTGGCTCCCGCGAATATCCAGGTCGCGACCAAGACCTACTGTGACCAAAGGAAGAGGTACACCAGCCAGCGTCTACACTCCACATGCTTTTTTATTACAAGACTACCGCGCATACATGTAAAATTCATCATTTGGCAACTATAGCTAAAGCATAAATATTTGAAGAGAGATTCACTAAATTATGATATGATTAAATCTTGACCAAATAGAATATTTATATAATAAAGTCAGAAAAAAGTTGTAAAATATAGATTACAATAACTATTCACATTCAAGGCTGTACATCAATACACACAACAATCCGGCCTCCAACATAATGAATTCAATCCAAACAATTCATCTATTAGACTTTAAATAACACAGGCCAACATAACCTTATATAAGAATAAAAACACAAAAGTATATATCCTAATATCATTGTATTATTTGTTTTCATAAGTTTCTTTTAAAAGATCTTACTTAATTTTAGAGAAAGGGGAAGGGAAAGAGAAAGGAGAGAAACACCAATGTGTGGTTGTCCCTAGAGCACCCTCTACTAGAGAGGTGGTGAGCAACCCAGGCAGGTGCTCTTGACTGGGAATCGAACCAGCAACCCTTTGGTTGATAGGCAGCACTCAGTCCACTGAGCCACACCAGCCAGGGCTGTTTTTCATAAGTTGTTGTTGTTGTTGTTTTCTTTGCTTGTACATCACAGTTACAACTACAGACCAGGTAGAGAATATTACATGTGTTCTAACTGCCACCAACCTGAAAGACAGCTACCATCCTATGGACTCATCCAATTTCCTGATCAGGAACAGATACAGCAGCTCTAAATACTGCAAAATTTGGTTTTGTCAACATCCAATCAAACTTAGGATGGTAATAGAGGCTTTTCACCTGTAAAACGACTCTTATTTACAGCCATTCAGCCAGATGGGTTAGATGAGGGTGGATTACACAACTGAAAAAGGTTTGCCTTCTGTAAAAAAGCTTTGCCTGCACATCAAATTTGGTGTTTCCTCCTACTAAAGAGATGCGTAATGGGAAAACTTCAGGCATACACGTAGGCTTGTTCAGGGGCACACCACAGAGCTCCAGAGAAACTCGCTCTTTGCTGGACCGCTTCTGCCCCAGACCAGTTATCCACATGCAGCCTGATCGAGAACCCTGCCTGTGCCCCCCAGAGGCTCTCGGGAGTGACCCCTGGCCTTGACTGAAAGCACTCTGCAGGCAGGCTGCCCAAGAGGCCAGGGCCACACCCACTTGGGTCACCATCGGTTCAGATTAGGTTTGGATAGGAAAAGAAACAATATGGAAACACGCACATGGCAGCATCTCCAAGAACAGTACCATCACCAAACTCTCCCAGCAGTTGCGCCCTCTGCCGTCTGGGCAGAGAGCACCCTCAGTCCATGGACTGACCGGCGAAGGGAGGGGTTATCAGAGGAGGGCAGGAGACCCGACTCTACAATTCAGCCACAATCTCTGGCAGAGGCCAGTGGCACTGAGCGTGGTACCTAGAAAACCTCTTGTGCGTGTTTCCCTTAGGAATTGATGGGCCCCAAACTGAAGTGGAGAAAGTAAGAATGAAACCAAATTTGGGTGGTCTGGACTTAAAGTCAACAGCCACATCCCTATCTGGTGTGGTTCAGTTGGTTGGAGCGTCATCATCTTCTAGACCAAAAAATCACAGGTTTAATTCCTGGTCAGGGCACATGCCTAGGTTGTGGGATCCGTCCCCAGTTGGTGCAAATAGAAGAGGCAACCCATCGGTTAATGTCTCTGCTCTCTTTCTTTTTTGCTTTCTCTCTTTGGAATAAAAAAAAATAAAAAATAAAAACACTTAGGGGAAAATAAGACAATGGCCACAGGCATGGCACTGCAGAGCTGCCCTTCTCTCTGCAGAACTTAAATGTCAGATGTGCTACTTAGCATCCATGCATGTGGATGTAGAGGACTTCAAGTTTAACACTGCACCAGCCCAGCACCCAAACGGCTGGTCAGACAGATGTGCTACCAAAGCTCATGTGTCCAGTCCATGAGCAATGAACCTGGGAACAGGCCACGGGCTGTCCTGTGACTGCCCCAACATGGGGTTTGTCCTGAGACCCGCCAGGGTGTCACTAAAGTACAGTCTGATAGGAGGAAGCCCACCACCGTGAGCATCCAGGCATAGAAAGTTTTGGGTTCCTGATGCATATTCTATGCCAGTGGTTTTCAACTGGAGTGATTCTGCCCTCCGCCCCCACCCTCTCAAGGAACTCTTGGGAGATATTGTGGGTTCACATTGCCAGGGAAGAGAGAAAGTATTACTGACGTCTAGCGCACAAAGGCAGGGATGCTCTGCTGCACTACAATAGGCAGGACAGTTCCCATTTGAGAGGTACTTGTAAACTCGATCCTCCCTCCCCCAGGAAGAACCCCACCCAGAGAACAGTCACCACCCTCAAAGCATTCAGCAGGAGGGCAGGCCCTGTGTTAAGGCAAGCACCGTACCACCCCTTACAGCAGGAGGGAGAAAGAAGCCCAAGCACCAGAAGCTGAGATCTACAGAGGTAGCTTCTGGATCTGCAGAGGTGCCCACATTGGAAAGGGCGGGATAAAAAAATGTTGATGCTGCCCTGGCAGCTCGCTCAGTTGGTTAGAGCATCATTCTGATATACCAAGGTTGCTGGCTCAATCTCTGGTCAGGTCACATACAAGACCTAGTCAATGAATTGCATAAATAAGTGAAACAAAAAGTTGATGTTTCTCTCTTTCTCTCTCAAAATCATTTACAACAAAATCAGAACAAAAACATTAGTGCTGTTCTCTGTGATGCCTAGAATATGGCAGAAGTGATGATGTGTGACTTCTGAGATTAGGTTATAAATGTCACTGCAGCTTCCAGCTCTTTCTCTCAAAACATTCACTCTGGGGATAGCCAGCTGTCATGGTATGAAGACACCCAGGTAGTCCTGTAAAGAGTTTCCCACTGGTGAGGAATTAAGGCTTCTACCAATAGCCGAGTGAGTGGGCAATCTCTGAAGTGGGTCATCTGGCCCCAGTCAGGCTTATTAAATGACTCGGCCCCAGCAAACATCTTGACTACAACATCATGAAAGACCCTGAGCCAGAACCACTCAAGATGCTCCTGGATTCCTGACCATCAGAAACCGTGAAATAATAAATGTTTGCTGTTTTATGTCTTTAAGTTTTGGGGTAACTCGATCCACATGTTAGGTAACTAATACACTGGCTGTGTGACATTAAGCCAGTTTCTGTTTCATCCCTTTTGCTGTGAGGGTTATGCGAATGAGTAAGAAACAAAATAGCACAGGCCTGATGCAAGCACAGAATCTGGTTTGCAGTGAGTATGCCGATGGGCCATGTATCCACGGCAGACTTCCAGGCCCTCCCAGGGTGATTATGGTCATTCTCTTACCCCTCCCTGGGTGGAACTTGACCTCCCAATCTTAGACCAAGCCATTGCACTCTTGGCCCAAGGTCACTCTTCATTACAAATGGAAGCTCTGAGCAAGGAAGCAACAGAGAAAAGCTGGGGGCTGTCCCTTCCCTTCCTCCAGACAGGGTGCCTACGAACTCTGTTGGGCCAGGTGAGTCCATATCCCTTCCTGCCCACTGTCCTGGGAGGGGCAGCCAGAGCCAACCCACAGAGTTGGTACCCTGCCTCTCACTAGGACTGAGGATTGGACTGTCCTGGCTTGGGCTTTGCACACTGGTTGCCATTCAGGCCCCACAAGAACTGAGAACTGTCCTTTCCTTCCCCTCTCGGCTGCCACTCCCTGCCCTGCTCCTGCTCTCTGCTCAGTCACCTTTCTCAGGACCACCCCACCCCTTCCCTGAGGAGCGAGCCCTGAGGTGGGGTTCATCAGCTGCCCCACTTGGCTCTAGTGTTCACTGTGTTCTTTCTCCCCTTCATCTACTCTGAGTTACTCAAGAACTGCATGGACGCTTTGGTGTGACAGGCTCTGATTTAAAAAAGTTAAAAGACTCCAGTTCATATTCTGCAGCTTGTTGCTTTCCCTTCAGAGCTTCGCCCTGTTCTTTTCAGGAACTACATAGAATTTTCCAGCCTGGATGTATCAACACTTATCATTCTCCTGTTGATAAAAATTTTGGACGTTTCTTCACTTTTTATGTCACATTAAAGCCATGCCATTGCAAATATCCACGCACAGCTTTATATTCATGATTGAGAGCTTCTTAGAATTTCCATAAAGAAGACAGGCTCATTTTATTAATTTTTAAAGTATGGAATGCTTCACCAATGTGCCTGTCATCCTTGCACAGGCGCCATGCTAATCATCTTTGTATCATTTCCATTTTAGTGCATGTGCTGCCAAAGCAAGCACCCATTTTATTACTTTTTATTTCCCTCAATGTTACAGAGGCCAAGAGGTTCTAAAAAGGCTTGTAATGAGAAACAGCAGCCCTGCCCCAGTCTCCATACTCATATTCTACTTACTACAAGTTTGAATGTTCTTCCTGTGGTTTATGTCCAACTTCCTAAATAATTTCTTATTACTTTAAATTGAGAGACTTGAGTATTGATTTCATCACTTATAGTCATTATCTATTGCCTTTCTGGCAAAAGGGGTGAGGAGTCAACTGACTCCTACTTTCCTTCATCTCCAGGTCCTACGAAGGTGGAGTGTGATAATTACTGGTTGAATCAGTGCATCTGTACTATGAGTAAGTATCTCTGACAGCTGAGATGGGTTGAGATGCCTAGGAAACTGTGTTTACGCTTGTTCTCCAGTATGGCTGTTTTCCTGAGTTTTTCCTCATCTTGC